GAGTCGCTGCGAAATTACGGAAAAGTACGCCGGCGGTTTTAACGAGACTATCCCCGGCGAGATAATTAAATGCCATTAATTTCGAATTACAGCTTACACATCCGTGGTTGTAATTCTTTATCCTTAATTGGATGTACACTTGGTTTCGCATTAATTAAGCAAACAAACTGCCGGATTAAATGCGATGCCGAAACACAGATGTTTTCGAGGCGGATCTTCTGCGTGAAAGGGCCCCGATTCAAACGTTTTCCGGCTCGGTTTTCCAACAGGTCTGGCCGAGCATCGCGGCACGATTTCGTGAACACCTTGTATAGGGTGCGGTCGTAATGATGGTGTAGCTTTACCGAGCGAACTCGAGGTTTGTGGGAGGAGCTAATGAGAATTCGTGAGACTCGGCGTGCATAGGAGAGAGGCCTTCGACTGCTAGCCTGCCAATTATGTTGCGTTTATACGAACATTCTGCACGGCGCCGACTTAGCTGCAAATCTTTATGCAAATTTTCGTTCCCGTCTACATACTTAGCGCACGCGAAATTGAATTGACTGTAATCCGGTTTCTAGACGGCGGACCGGAAACAAACTAAAGATTAACTTTCCGGTGGAATCCGTGCGTTTTACGCGGTCGAGCCGCTAACTCGACTACTCCCATAATCTCTCTCCTAATTGTAAACACTCCGCAGAAAGACTCGGTATCTCTCTCTCTCTCACTCTCCGTCTCCCTTTTTCTCGTTCTCTTTGCGAGAGAGGCACAGATCGATTTATCAATGCAATCCCTTCGGAACGGCGAAGGCTAACGTATGCACATAATTTCCCCTTTCTTCGGATCCGAAAAGTCTGGAGATCGATCGGTACGGCTGTACAAGCGGAGGAAGACGGTCCTCGGTGCATGAGAATCAGCTAAACATTTAAAATCCTGAGGAATCCGATCGAAACGTATCGGCGGCGGGCCCCGAGCTCCCCGCTCGGAAGCCGGTCCGGCTCTTAACACGATTTTCTCGAGGCTTAATGTATCAGCGAAGAATATAGAAAAGCCTGTTAAGCGGACCCTTTCAGGATTATCGGGTTGTGAAATAAGATCAAGCCCGAGTGAGACCGTTTGAAGCGGGCAAGTGTGTCTCGTTACGAAAAGTGTCTACTCGTGTTCGACAGGTCCCGCAGCCATTCATAATACTCTCGTTAAAGTATGCCACTCGAAATTATTGAGTTTCAGGTGCAATTTCGGCGCGGTGGAACGGTAATTCGATGGCAATAATGGCCGAGCGTCAAGAGTCCCCTGTTAATCGACATCGAGCCGGCTATTTTGCCGTCCATCGCAAATATTATAATCGCGCGACCGGCCATGCTCCATTCGAAAGTATATACATATACAAATATATATAGATAGATAGACAGATAGATATACATATACATTTGCACGGAATTTACAACGGTGGGCCAGTTTAATTGCAGATTAACAGCTCGCCGCGGCGGGGAGGGGCGGCCGGATACGCCGAGCACCGCCGGGAAATTCGCGGACGTTTCTTTTTCGATTTGCATGGGAAACGAGCCGCACTTTGTAATACTTGAAAGGCGGATGAACGAATTGCCAGCGAAATTACAGGCCGCGAGAGGCAGCGAGCCACGGATTAAAATTACGGTTAACAATCGCGCGTCAAAGAACCGTCGCGTTGTGCAAACGGAAAAAGTTTCGAATATCTTGCATGGTTATCTCTCTCTCTCGCTCTTTCTCTCTTTGTTTCTGTTTCTTCTCTGTCTACGCTATTCGGAAACAATACGGCCGGATAATTATCCGTCCGACATTGGAAAGTTCGCCGATAAAATGCAAAATTGGGTGCGTTCGACGGAAACCGTTGCTTTTCGCTGCGTGAAAACGGGAATCGAATTATTATAGCGCGCAGAGTTCACGAACGGCGAAATCGTGGACGGAACGTTTAAAACGAATCCTCGGTCGGAGACAAAGGAATTGTATTTATTTCTCGAATAGCGTGCCCGTGGAAAAAGTTAGCAAAAATATTCTTTCCATCTTGTAAACGTTCGTTTACCTGAAAATTCTCGAAAATGTCGAAAATTCCCAAAGAAACAGATTACGCATCAACTTCGCCGTGTTGTTCCTAAGAAACGTTGAATTCAGATTCGCGATCATCGACGCTGAACGCGCTGGAAATACAGGCGTTTTCCCGCTGCTAATTGGACTGCCCGGATCGCGGAAAATTTTTGACGTCAGCGGGAACGGACATTCTGGTCGTGGAAGAGCCTCGATGCTCGGCGTGCCGTGGAAAATTGTACGGGCCGAGCGTTAAAGGCGAACAAGGGGAACGGTGTTAATGAAATACTGGAAGGAGGGAGCCGAGCGCCGGGCTAAAGATCGAAAAGGTGGGAAAACTACTTAAACCGAGAAACAGAGACGAAACTCGGCGGACCGCATTAGCACGTTAAATGGCTACATTAAGAACTTTATAGTTAATTCAGACTGTTCCGGTGTCGTTATTGCTTCCGGTGAATTTCATCGTGGACCGACGCTTGCTCCCGAGGGGCCCGGGTCCGCGAAAATGATCGATAATGCACGGTAAGCATCCGGTTTGTCGCGCGAGGACAGTTCCCGTTTGTGAACTTTTACGAAGCCGCCTCTATTATTCAACGGTTTAAAGAGCCCCGGTTAAAGTTGCATCCGATTGATAAAGCGATTTATTACGAGCGTCATCGTCGCCTAAGTTCCCGGCTATCCTTCTAAGCTGCTAACTTCTACAACATCCCGGTGATCAAGAAATTAATATTCATCTGGCCCGAGCTCGTAAAGTAAGAAAGAGTAAAAGACAGAGGGAGAGAGAGAGAGAGAGAGAGAGAGAGAGAGAGTGCGAGAAGCGAGCTGCGATTCCTCCGAATGGAAAGTCATCCAATTTGAGGAACTTTTGCCCGGTAAAAGGAAACGTCAATGAAAAGGAACTGCCTTTAAAGAGCGTCGAGCTAATAAAACTGTTTCCTATCGATTTTTGAGCTACCTCGCGGAACCTGCGCCGCGGAAATTTCCGTAAGCATTATGGATTGTAAGGCCGATCTGAATACAAAGAAGGCCTTTCTTTTGCAAGTTCTGCTGAAAGAACACTTTGTGCAACCAACAAAAGGTTATTTCTCTGTGCAGCTCCCTCCGGTAACATTACTCGAAGCTAATAACCATTACCATGTGGAAAACTTCTTGGCTCTCTCGACGTCACACTGTTGACCGGCTAAAGCCGCCGACTTCGTTAATGCAACTTTCATGGCGGAAAATACTGAACAAAGATCAGTATTTGCCTTCGAAGTTAAGCCGCGCGTGCGGGCGAAGTCGGGTCCGAAGTTAGTTGGACAGAATTAGGTCTACAATTTAGCGTACGTGTTGAATCAAAGCCCGGGTTCCGCCGGAATAATGGAATCGGGGTGCCGCATTCGCCGAATTGGACGCAAGAATTTGCGGAAAGTGAAAAAACACCCGGTCGGATTAAGATTCTCCGCGACTCGGATTGAACTCGCGACGTGGCCCGGCAGCTGCGCCCATCGGGATTTTAATGAAATTTTGTGAGACGAGTCCGGGGGCTGTACGCGTGCTTAAGAACTCGAGAACATGTATACTCGAGCAAAGTTTAGGTTCGCCTTAAATCCCTGCTTAAGCCGGGGCTAAGATTGCGACCAAATGATAGACGAAGCTCCGAGTTAGAATGAAACGCGTGTCCGGCTAGACTTCGGCTATCCGAGGTTGCTAGCTCTCGTATCCGAACAGGATCCCGAAGGAAATCGATCGAGTAAATAAACGACATCCCCGAGATAGTCTCTCTTTTCAGCAGCACGCACTAGCCAGGACGCATCCGAGGGACATCAGCGAGCATCTACTCGTAGAATATCGATGAGTCCGTAGTACGGCCGTTCCGCGAGGCTCCTGCTGGATTACTGCGCCTTAAACTCTTTACGGCTGATTGAAGTCGAAGCGACGATATCATTAAGCGCCGGTCGGGCCAGTAAAAACGGATCCTGGAGCCTCGGTGTCCTGGAGGCCGCCTATAAAACTGATCCGAGACGTTCGACCCTTAACGACAGCCTATAGACGCATTACGTTCGACAAAGCGGCGATTACGATGCCGCTCGCCGTCTTCGTTTCTCCGTAGATCACTCTGCAGATCTTGCCCGCGGCGTTCCGCGTTCCATTCGAGCAACGAAACGCAAACAGAACTGTTTCTCGTCGTCCTGCGCTCGGTGAAAGAATACGAAAAACGCGGACTCGACGCTCCGATTGAAAGCGACTCTTTGGACATTTTTTTCAGAGATCGGTGCAGAGTGCCGAGACACCAAACTTGGTAGGCTTATTTGATAGTATTCGGACAATGTACTCGAATTTTTGCAGGTAAGCAAGATCGGTCTCTTCGACGTTACAGAGCTCAGAATTCTCGCCCTTTACCGGTCTTGTGTGCCGATATTCGGATTTGGGAATTTTTTATGAAACAGCTGTCGAGTATTAGATTGTCATACTCGATGGACTTATTTTCCAGCGTTCAAAGATCGTGCACAAATTTCTCGCAACACGAATGAAGAATTGTTCGAGTAAACAGATATAATAATTTACGACGAACGAATTAATCGAACGAAACATTAATAACTAAAAAGAATTCGTTCGGATAACGATCTCGGATAAATATTCGTTCGAAACGATCCGAATAACGGCGAGCATCCGGTTCGAAGATCGTCCACAAATATTTCGCGAACAAGAACAATGCCAGCGCGGTAGGGTTTGTCCCTTTTTAGCGGCCAGTTCGTTAGCCCCTGGTACCGCCGCAATTAATGACTTCGTTCTAGCACGTTCACCGAATGCATCTACAAAGCTCCAAAGTAACTCCGGCGCTACGAAATTTCGAGATTCCTGCGTAACCGTATCCGAGGACGCGCCATTGACCGAAAGGAGCAAGAAGAAAAAAAAGAAGATCAATTTGCAGCCCGTTAGAGCGTGGAGTGGCCCCGAAGGCTCGTTGTACTCACCGGTTCGCACCAGCACGTTCAACAGGATTGATAGGACGAGAGTGGTGACCCGGTACCCGTGTATTATGATCATCAGCCACCTCGATACGCTGAATCCCGCGTCGTGCCATAGACCCGTGCCCTCGTGTACCATATTTTTCTGGCTCGCCCTTTCTCGGCCACCTTGCCTCCGATTGCCTGCTCGTCGCCCGGCCTCATTCACCGTCGTTCACGGACTCGAACGCAGAGCCCAGGCTGAAACCCGTTCGCCCCGGGTTTTATCGGCGATTGAAAAGCGTCCTCGAACCAACGGGAGAGGGTAGCCTCGCCGCCAGTTCCCCGACAACTTTCTTCTTACGTGCTCGCGAACTCGGTCTGTAAAATGTACTTTCGCTGAGGAAACTGTGGCATCCAGGCAGAGAGATAGAGATAGATAGACAGAGAGAGAGAGAGAGAGAGAGCAAGAGTGAACGAGGGACAGAGAGAACGGGGATGGGGTATCGGGAAAAAGAAAGGGAAAACAGAGAAACAAAGCATCGGAACACGTAAATCTTTTCTCTAGCCGGTCCGTGTATCGTTGCCGGTCGCGGTATTGTTGCCGGACCGGCATGCTCCCGGTCAGATTGATTAGTGTACCGGCGGTTAGAGGAAAAGTTTCTAGTTGCCGTGGTAACCCGGCGAAGCCGAGAGCTAAAAGATCCTCGCGCTCGCCGGGGCAACTTAGCGGGATCAATCCGGCCAGCAGATATTGCTCGAGTTTATGGAGTTTCCGGAGAGCGCGCCGCTCAGCGCGGTGCCCGTAGAACGTTCCGACGGTAACTATCGTTAACGGCGAATGGAAAGTTGCGGCCGCCGACTATTCGTTCGCGTATGGGGTCGGACGAGGAGCCGAGGGAGGCGGAACGCGCCGCGTCGCGTCGCAGGCATCGCGCGACGTCGCCCCCGCGAGGAAACCCAGTTTCCTGCGTCTTATCGAGATCGAGGAGAAGGTATAGGTCACCGAACGCTCTTCTCAGCCCTGGCAAGTTGCTCTCGGTGGCTCGAGTTGCTATTGTTCCACGGCTATAGATTACGCCCCTCTCGGAACGCTTCGAGACGCCGCCGCGCCGGTAGTTCCTTGTTCCCTCCGCGACCCTCCGCGACCCCCTGCCGCCGCCGCCGCCGCCGCGCCGGATGCGTCGCTGCAACGAACTCGAAGATACACGTGTCGAAACGCTCGACGGACTTCGGTGTTTCGTGATATCGTTGAAGTTCCGCGGGGGCGGCGGGGCAGCGCGAGCAGACTCCGCGGCAAGCCTCTCAACGATATCCTTTCGCAGTAAAGTTAATGGCGCGCCTCCGGCGAAGGGACTTTCTTGCTCGCCCGTTCCTCCTCGTTCAGCCCTTGTTCGCGGGCGGCAACGTTTTCCGGGCGCTACGCTGCCCGGCGCACGTACCCTTGCACGTTATCAGAAATACAAGACGCTCCGGGCCATTGAAACGGAACGTTCTTTTTCTCGAGTGGCTTTCAGCGTTCCGCGTTGCCTGCCGGTCCACCGCCAAAGGCTACTTCCCGTCGGAAGAGCTCTGATTTTCTTTGCCAGCCGCGGCACCGACGAGAACAGAGAAAGCGAGAGAGAAAGAGAGAAAGAGAGAGGAATAGCTCCTGGAATCAGCCGGAAGACACCGGGTCCCCGGAAAATATCCCAGAGACTTTTCCACAGTTGGCTTCGATGCTTTTAGTCCGCTTAATTTCTATCGTTAATATTATCTTTCGTCCGACCCGACGTCGGTTCGTTCCATCGACTGTTCCGCCGGATGCTAACCTAATGCCGCCCTTCGCCTGCGTTAACAGAGATAACGATTACGGCTGAAACATGGCCGCGTCGCTCTTCGTCCGGTAAAATTCTATCCTGTTCACTCCATCGCGCCAAGTATCGCACCGTTTTCGATCCGATCAAATGTAGCATGTACAGTAATGTTTCTCTAACTGACGCTGAGATTCTGAGGGGCGAGAAGGCTGGCGCGAGGTAGCCGTGCCAATGGGCAGAACTGGGATATTTTTAGCAAGAGTAATCATAACATTTACAAAAAATCGATCTACACTCGCATCCCAATCCATCCGGAAATCCATCCTACTAGTCTCAGTAACTGGTCCAAAATTTTATTATCAACCTAGGGGGACCAGTTACTGAGTGAAAAAAAATTCATTTTAGTGTTTTGTAGAGATAAGGTTATGATATGCCCTCTGACTCCCAAAAATTCGGAAAATGAATTCCACTAGTCTCAGTAACTGGTCCAAAATTTTGCTATGGACCTAGGTGGACCAGTTACTGAGACTAGTGGAATTGGTTTTCTGGATTTTTCCGATCTGTCCCGAAAATGAATTCCACTAGTATCAGTAACTAGTCCCTCTAGGTCGATAGCGACATTTTGGACCAGTTACTGAGACTAGTAGGATGGATTTCCTGATAGATTGTTGGGTGCCCTTCCTTGTGCTCGTGAAAATGTGTGTTCGCACGATAATTTTATTTACGCTGCATTTGTATTTATATATTCGTTGTACGAACGAGGAAAATTTCTGTAATAAATTATTCGAATAAAACTGGATTGCGGTTCAGTTGCGCAACGTGAAATCATTCTGTGTGAAAAATGCCTTTTCAACGAGAATTGATTTATGGTAACGCACAGTAACGATGGAGTTTCAGCTTAGAAATTTTATTGAAAATATATCCGCGCGAGAGAAGGAATTGCCAATCGATGCACTTGAAGCGCCTCCTTGGATTTATAAGGCAGTATTTGGCGGAATATACGATTGGATCTCCAACAATGGCCATCCCCAGTGCCGACTGCAGATCCTTTTTAATTGGAGATAGCGTCGGAGGAGGCAGTGCTGGCTGAGAGCGGCAGGATATCACGACCCGATGCCGACGCGTGAAACTCGACGATCGTTAGTTGACACGGCTAATATTCGCTCGCAACGGACCCTCGACTCGCCCACTTTTCCCCGCTGCCTCATTTACGGATGCCTCGACCGCCTCGCGGCGACTTAACGCGCTCCGCTTGCTACTCCCGTTCCGCTCGTGTTCCCGTCGCTGCCGCGATTTCAGCCTCTGTTCCAGCGACGAGGGTGGAAAGTTTGCGTTTCAACCGTGCGCGATTTTCGATCGCAGCCGGCAGACACCGCCGCTCTCAATGAGCATTCAACGCGTCTAATGCTACGCCGGAATGCGGCGAAATGGTTGCGCTCGATCGAAGTTGGGCCCGTGTTTGTTGCGTCGCGTGTTGGTTGATCGTGTTTAGACAAAAGCAATTTCGGCGATGTGATATTCAATTGGGGTAGCGATTTGATTCGATACTAATGAACGATCGCCGTGTCAAATTGCATCGCCGTGGCACGGGAGAATGTCGAAATTAATTGATAATCTCTGACCAAATACCGGTGATCCTATTTGCTGCGTCGCAACGTGCTCCAGATTCGTAAGAAAAAATACCGCACGGAAGCGTATCTTGGCTTCTACGATCGCGTACGTTCGCGGAAGGTGATTATTGTTGTTGAACTTACATCGACTGAAAAGCGCAGACTTCACTTTTTAAAACGAGCCCAGGTACATCGCGCTAGGATTTTTTTCGACGAAGTTACAGAGCTTCGAATTTTGTTGAATTTTCGCCTCGAATTTTGGGGCCATCAGAAATCGGGCATTTTACTCTCACCGCTACACTTTTCGTTCAAATTGCCATAAAACGATGGCAAAAAATCGTGGCGCTATGTACGTGGGCTCGTTGGAAAGCTAAGACTTCGCTTTTCAAAAATACGGTATTGTTTTTACGGAAAAAAATTTTTTGAATGACTCAGACAGCCGTGAAGCTGAAGAAACTTTGGAAAAGGACAATTTTTCTTTTTCGTTGTGAAAATAAGTAATAGAAAGATGCAATAGGGAAATAAACCACGTCATTCGAAAGCGCAGAGTTTGCCCTTTAAAACGCGCTAAGATACATCCCTCTACGATTTTTTTTAACGAAATTACAGCGCTCCGAATATCCTTCAATTTTTTCCTCACATTTTGGGAACGCTGCTCGCGGGACACTCCTGATTCGCCCTAGCGTAAAATGGCACCAAAAAATCGTAGATCCATGTTTTCGGTCTCGTTGGAACGGGAAAACTACATTCTCCATGAAAAATCAAGTCCTGAACGTCGAAAAAATTTTTCAAACCCTTCGGAGGATCGCAAACTTGAAAAACGATAAAAAAACGCACATTGTTACAAAAAGAAAGGCCGTCGCCGTGACGGCGATGCTACCCTCGAATAACCCGACCAATCTCGAAGTGCGAACTCTGTCCTTTAAAATGAGCCAAGGTACACCCCTCTGCGATTTTTCCACGGTATTCCAGCTCCGCTCAAACCTGCGAGCTTCTACTTTACCAGCCGAACTTCCCTTCCCCGAAGACAGCTTCGGAACAGTGCTCCTTTCTAGAAATGCAAACGACTTCGCGGAGACTCGCGCAACTTTGTTAGAAAATTCGTTTAGCGATCACGTTGTGCTCGCAACGAGGAGCCAGCGGCGGGATTCTGACACCGGGCGACACAGTTCCCGTAAAGGATCGTCGTTTCACCGCATCGCCCGCCAGCCTACAAGACGTTAGCCCAAGAGGTTAGACCCGGCCGAAGATTCGCCGAAGAATCCGCAGCAGTTGGCCCGGTCTGCGGCTGGCTGTGCAAGTTTGCGGAATGTCCCGGCGACCGCGATCTCCGTGTACCGTCGTCTTCGGGGGCGTCGCGACGCGCCGCGTCGGCCGCCTCGGGCGGGCTTGCCGGAACGTCCAGCTGCGTACACACGCGTCCCGGCGGAAGGATCGTCGCGGTTAACCCGCTCCTTTGAGGTATCCGAGTCGCCCCCGGGGTCGGCAGCCGCGGACAGAAGGGACGGGTCGAAACGCAGACGCTTCGGGGATTACGGAGCTCCTCGCGGACCCAAGTCTCGCAAGCTCTGAAATTCGAGGAAACTGGATACAGCTTGCGGTGGTAGCCGGTTCCTCCGATAACCGGCCGCGACAAGACAGTCTCCGGTCTCCTGAAATGTTAACGGTAAGCTCCTTTTTGCTGAAATCCGAGTCTCGAGATCGCGCGGAGCCTCCGGCGGCCGGGACGGAACGAGGCGGATGAAACGGCGGAACGAGGCGGTTCTGGGGACACGGGAACGACGCTGGCAGCTCGGCTCCGAGGGGCCGAGGGGCTCTTTCTTTTCCTCCTATCGGCCTAATGAAGTTCTGCCGGGGAAATCTCCCGAGCCGAGCGGAGCGGAGCCGAGCGGAGCCGAGCCGCGCCGCTTCCTTTTGCGCCGCGTTTCCGAATACCGTCCGTCACACGGAAGATTACGGTGCCGGCCGGAATTAA